ACTCTAGTGTCGGCACCACCACCGGTGCTACTGTAGGTGTCGGTGGTGCAAGTGGTGCTACCGGTGCGGCTATTGCTGTTGTTGAGGTTATGGCTGTGGAGGTCTCTGTGGCTTTGGCTGACGCCTTGTAAGCTCAAGCATCCTCCATGTCCATATACCCATGAGCTTTAGCCATCAGCTGCTCATAATTGGAGACTGACTTCTTAGCAAGTGAGTCAGCCAATTTGTTATTCTACAAGCTGGCCACAAGAGCGGACATAGCCACCACACTCCTCGGGTTGTTAACCTCCAGCCTCTTCGCCTGGAACCTCTTGAAGTATGTTCGAAGGCTTTCTCCAGGCTATTGCCTCATCTGGATTAACACATGAAGGGGCAGCTTCTGCTTGGTGTTAGCCAAGAAGTGGTGGATAAACTTCTGGCTGAGTTGCTGGAAGCTGCTGATGGACTTCTTCTCGAGAGCGTTCCACCAGAGCTTGGCGTTCCCTGACAGAGTAATAGGATAGCATCGGTAAATAATTGCTTCTGATGCTTGGAGCATGCTCATCATGTCATAATAGTTTTGGACATGCTCGGAGGGGTCTCTTTCACCCTTGTACTTCTCCACATGAGGCATCTTAAACTTCTCACATGGGGCGTTCATGAGGTCGTCGGAGAGGGGGGTGTTTCCCCCGATAGCTTCAGCGATCGGTCTATACACCCGACCGTATCCGGAGGCCCCTATGGTAGCAGAAGGGGTCAGAGAGGCACGATGGTAGGGGAAGGTCTTAGTGACTACTCCCCTAGTGTGATCTCTAGGGTGACCAAGGTCGGGACTCTCATCGGTGACTTCGGGATCAGGAAGGAGATGTCGGTGAGGTTCCTCGAGACGAGTCGACCAATATGGTGGTGGGGTCGCGTACTCGACACGATCTCTCTGCTACTTAGCAGCAGCATGAGGGGTCTGAGGTGGGACTATTCACTGTGCTCCAGAAGGGAGATGAGTCCCCGATCGCTGATCTTCAGAAGGTGAGGGGACGACAAAAGTAGCTTGCTGCGGCTGTGGAAGCCGGCTGAGGAGCTCGCTGGTAAAGGTAGCGAGTTGCTGATGGAGGGATTGAGAGGTCTTGTGAGCTATTTCTTCAAGCTGAGCTTGAGTGATATAGCTCTATTGTGGTCCTCCAGGGTGAGACCAACTAGCCTTATCCTCAGGACCAGACATGCTTGCTCGAAACAGAAGGATGTCCCACGGTGGACGCTAAATTGTTGATGTTAATAATCAAATAGGTAAAAAAATGAGGGGTGAGGTTGATTAAGGGCCGCTAACTTCTCCGAAAATCTAGTTTTGAGTTGAGTAGATTCAGCCTGCATAGATAGCAATTCGTAAGAGGACGAAGACTAGTTCCCACGTTGTTCCTCCAATGATCAAGTCAGTTGATAGACTTGAGTGGGAAAGTAATGAACTGCGTGAGTTCTAAAGTACAGTGAAATGGAGAATAATGTTGGAAAATGGCTTAAAATGCTTGAAAACAGATCTCTCTGGTATTTGGAATAGTTCCTCTTCTTATAGTGGTGGAAAAATGGTAGAATGGTAATCTCGGTCGAGTACAGGATGGTGGCAAATGAGTATGGGCTGGCGGCTACGTCAGCACCTACTTTACAGGTATCGGTCGATGAGTAGGGGAGAGGTCACCTTGGTATTAAATACAAAGTGATTGCGGGCATGGTGGTGCCGGCGTAGTCCGATGAGTCATGAAGGCTATCGGGGCTAGAGGAATGATAGCGCCTACCAAGCATTTAATGCGACGCCGACATACTGTCAGTGGGCGAGGCTCGAGGTTAAAGTCGTCCTTTGGCCGAGAAGTAACGCCTCTCGAGCTGACCCCGCAAGGCGTCGAATAATTGGTCGAGTGGACTTGTAGTGAGTCGTCTTCGACAAGAGGACCGATAAGTACCACCTATCGAGTCGATCTAAAGAGATGTCGACTCGGCGAGTCGGCTAACTTGGGATCCTTGGTGGTCCTGATCGTCAATCTTATTTGAGCGGTGCATGTAGGGGGACATTTGTCCGTTGCTGGCAATGGGTCGTACTTTGACGACTAGAAACATCATAACAAATTAGGAAGGATATTTTGGAAAGCTTCCTAGTGGGTTGTGGGCTTATACACTATTGAGGTGGTAGTCGCAAAACTTATCAGTATAATGGTGAGGAAGCATGTTGCTTTATGTTGAGGAGGATGATGCATAACTTTATTTTTTGAAGTTGCTACAAGCAATTTTCTCTAATTTTAATTTAGATTGGGTTTTTCTTTTCTGCAAGGGGAAAGCTAGTTGGAAAGACATGTTCGAGGGAGATCCCAAGTTCGAGCCCTCACACCATCAACAAGGAAAGAAAACGTCTGAGAATTGAGACCTATATCAACTCCAACAAGCAAATATTGGAGCTCTGTTAAACCTCCTATATATGAGATGAAGATTCAAGTCTAATATAGAATGGAAATATCTAAATATTTAAATTGATCTTTGAGGTATTATGTAGGGGAAAATGACCTACATCAAATCTAGGAAAGTTAATTTTTGCCCATACCCATTTACCCACCTAGCCTGCCCATCACTTGGCCCACCCAAAACCCACCCATTTAGTTAAATGGGTGTAATCGGACGGGTTCATTTTAAATTATACTAAATGGGCACTAAATGAGCGGTGTTTATTAACTATTGGCTATAAGCATCGAGGTTTCCATATATATACTTTATAATTTATCAAAAATGGTCATATAATCTTATATAATAAAATTGATTTAATACTAAATAGTAATATCGCTGTAATAATATCGATATTAGGAAAAATTCTTTGTGAACCAATATGTTCTTTACGATATATAAGCTATGCACTCTAAATTCTTGTGTTTTTATAGAGCCAAAAAGTTTGAATACGAGCATCTAACATTTTACTCTCACAACAGCAAAATCCACTTAGCAGATATGGATATTCCAGACGAGTTATATATCATATATATAATGCAATTACCCTAGGCAAGTGAGTTATAATAGTATTTTTCATTCACATCGTTTGGGGCAATATTTGATAGGGACATTGCATCAATGAAAAAAAAATTATATTTAGAGCACACGGCGAAATATATCATAATCTCCCTACTTTAATTTCGCAACAAAATAATTCTTTATACTTTCAATTTTACTTCTATGATGTGGAGAATGAGCTATAGAATTGAATAAAAATACTAGATGATGTAAATATGAGTGAAACCACAACTAAAAGTTAATGTAAATATACGTCAAACCACAGCTAAAAGTTTAATGGATATATTACGAGTAAATTCATATGTAAAATTTCTTTACGAATTGAATGATCACCCCTCTTTTGAAGACTCCAAGATACTAATAAACAGATATGTTGTACTAGATTAATGTGTTTATAATTCATAAATAGTAGATCACGTGGTCATAGTCTAGGTTAAAGAAAACAATAAGAATATTTATTTTGAGAAAATGATTATTCAGTTGATCAATTTCAAAAAAAAACTTTTTTTTAATTTTTATTATATTTTTATCAATTTAAATAATCATGATATTCAATCACGTGCATTGAACGTGCATCTCACCTAGTTATAACAAAATTACATCAAAACATTTGTATACCAAGAATTCTTTAGTCAAAAGTAATATTTCAACCAGTAATCAGATTAGACATTGCAAGCATGCCCATCCAAGATAAACAAAACAGAATATCACCAGTTACCTTCTCTGTAAATTTTTGACTGGTTATCAAATTCTCATTGTAGAACAAAATTAACCGTTGTTAATTACATATCAAAATATTTCCCTGCACCTAACATTTAGAATTGGAAAATTAAACTAAGCAATGCAGCAAACTGGAATTGATCAGGAGGCTTGATAATGCGACACATGGGAGAGTTAAGATTTCACTGAATTGAACCGGTTCAAGCTTCAACCATTGGCTCAGGCCCAGATGGGTCTGAAAGGTTCGGCTGTGACTTGCTGCTGCTCGATTGCCTCACCGAGTTGAAGAGGAAGTCCTTGATGACCTTTTTTGGTAAGTAAGAAAGAACATTAAGACTAAGGGAATAAGTTTTTGCATATCAACTAGAATAACAGTTAGTATTATCAACCAAAAAAACCATGAATCATTCACCTGCGACATGAGACCATGCACCTGCTCAACAGTAATTTTGGCGCTATCACGAGTTATCTTTGCCAATTGAGATTCTTCCTGCTTAAAACACAGCAGCAAGGGGAAAGCCCTTTTTTTAGCGGGTGCAAAACAAGAACTGACACATTAGGAAACACAAACAATTAAGGGGGTAATGTCATAACTACCAGTTCACTGGCAAATTCCTTACTCTAAGGAGCTTAAAGGACGCATGAGTACGGCTTAATGAAACAGACAACATAAAATGTCAATGAAATCATATATAATCTCTAGAATCCAAGACACATGACTGCTAGTGATTATTAAATAAAAATAGTAAGAAGAATTCTAAAACTTTGTACATCAAACCATTGTTCATCGGTCCTTAACGGAGAAAGTGAAGGTTATATATCTCGTGAATTGAATGATTTCTACATTTTGGAAAATCGGAGGAAGTGAAGGTTAGATGGTGTGAGGGAAAAAACATGGTAGAACAGAAGATAACAACAAGAATGAAAGACAATCAAATTTAGGACCATCATTCAAATATCAACCCTCTGGAAGTCAATGCTATAGTCAAATAAAGTTTTATACTTTGGTGCAAAAACAAGATACATGAGCTAGAAATTATAAGTAAAGTTATTTTCCCAAGATATCAACATGATACTAAATTCTTATGTATTGAAACGTGAACAGAAGGTAGACAGTCCCAACACCTAAGAGCACCATGTATAAAAATAACATGTCATGTGTCAAAACACAAGCACAAACGACGTGGTAATTATGCGGGGAAGGTAGTATTAGAAGTAGCAACATGAAACTTGTTGGGTGCTTAGGTAACCAATAACAAGATGCTAGCAAATTAGTATCAAACAAATACTGTATGTGACTAGCAAGAGGGTAGCAAAAGGCATTTCATAACTAGAGAATGTTATCTAATATCCATCAAGCTGTACAGTTTAGCATTCTTATCAGCAATAAAATAGTCTGTTCAAAAAAGGTGTGGCGCTAATCAGAAAAGTTTTATACCCACTTCACTTCAATAATACTCCACACACCAAAATTGTTCATGACCTTTTATAAAAACTTTATACCTTCACTCCCTACTGTATGTAGTTTATAACATAAATAAAGTGTCACTCCCTACTATATGTAGTTTATAACATAAATAAGTGTCACTTTCATGTGATGATCATTACCTTACTAAAGAATACTGTTTAGGCAACTTGCTCCAGTGTGGTTCCTTTCTATTATTCTTGTTACAATACGACACTAAAGCAGCAACTTTTCCTCAGCCCCATTAGATGGTTTGATTACAGAAACCATCCAGGTACAGTTGCAGTAGGTACTAATCCTAGAGGTAAGGGCTTCACCCTGACTAGCCTGCTAGCATATGTTAGTCTGGGGTAATACATAATCCCATAATGGTTACTAACGGGGAAAAACTCATCGCTCTAAACAGTCCATTCCTGCCTATCAAAGGGAACTAGTTTGCACCGGTTCTCATCACAGATTACCCTCAATGCTAGACCTCGTTTTCCTTGGAAACATTTTAATGCTTCCTGATGCACAGGTGTACATTAGCTGGTTATGACATTTCCGATCAAAAACTTAAGATGAATCATCTCTTGATAATGCGATACCCTTAATTTGCTTGAATGCCTGTAACATGTAACCGCTAACTAACTCCTCCCCCACCCGATGACTGTCCAAAGGGACCATTTCTTAAAAAACTGTAGTTTTGTTCTACTGATGTTCCTTTATGTAAGAGTTCTCTTATGGCTCAGATGAAGTGCAATAAACACATACTTGCAAATAAAAGATGACGTGATCAACATATTTCACACCCTTCTTTTTCCTATTACTCAATAAGGGATCAAACGAAAAGTTAATAAGAGGTGAATAAATAGTACCATAAGCATGTATGCAACAATAGAAAGTATGTGAATGTTAGAAGAGGTACTCACCCCTACCATACTTGGTTTGTCTATAATAGCCAAAGCATAAAGGTAAAAATTAAAGATTTGCAGTATTATGATAATATCAATTATCAAGAAGCAACTAATGCTGATTAAGTAGGCGTTTAGCATAGATTACACACCAGCGCCTCAATAGATGAATTTTTACGGTACCACTAGCGAAACAGGTTAAGCAGAACATACATTGAAAATGCCAATCACAAAATTAATTCTGAACTAATTATCATCGCTGGCACGTGTAGTATATAAATATATCATCAAATCTGTCGATGAGAAAGTCCATATGCATGCATACAGACCTCTTTCTTTCGCGATGAGGGCGCAAGGAAAGAGCCAAAACGTGTATGAGCCATTTGGTTCTCTGCCTGCTCCAGCTTTTCAGCTGCAGTAGAATAATTGTGGGAATTCAGTTAACCGAACTATAAAGATACCACATATAAAAACATCTCTGGAACATTGATTCAACGAAAACATATTGTTGGGTTAACCAGATGCAGCTTCTTTGATAAAAACTTGCATATTTTGATTTTAAATTTAACATGCAGCAACAACAAAGGCGCATTAAACAAAAGAAACTACACTCACCTAAATCAGAAATCTGCCCTGCAACATAGTCTCTGTTCCCTAGGAGAGGGGATGAAGACAAAGTGTTTACCCAGTATTTATTCCAAAGCAGGTCCAAGAGATGGGAATCAAGGGAAGACTTGAAATAAGTAATATCAAGTGAATAATACTGCATCAAACAAATAGGCAAGCAATGAGATAAACCATGCAGCAAAGATTAATTTTCACACAAAATAGAAAGACATCAAAGTTGAGTGAGAACCTGTTTGCAGTGAACCCCAAAATCTTCAATCTTATTCAGAGGAATGGTTTGGTACTCTGAAACAGGCTCATCCGGTGGCTTGTACCCTTCTGGGTAAGTCCTGAATGCTCCAATCTCAACCTTCCCAGCTGAGACAGTTCTTGTGGGGTCTATGACAACAGCCAAGAATGGCTCCTGATACTTTTGATTAAGCATTTGCGTTGATACATCAATGCCTGACAACCAGCATCCATACCCTGGATGTGAATGGTACCACCCAACCACATTCTCCAACCTCCCCGCCTATTTAAATAAAAGGAAAGATAGCAAAAAAACATCAGGAAAAACTGTACCTTATAACCAGAAATTTTAAAAACAACTTATTAGAAATGACTAAATCATAAAAGAGTCTTATTCTTTTCCAAGAAATATTTCAACACAAGAAAGTAAATGACATATTTCTCATCTAGGTGAATGGATATGGAATGAGCATCTGATAAGATATGATGATATGAATACACTAATCCGCAGGATCGTAAAAAAAAAAGGATTGGTTCATAGTGCATACAGCAGTTAAATATTATTTTATTGAAATTCCAGATTACAAGACTGTACATTTCAATTTATAAGAGATTCATTACCAAGTTTTCTGGAACAGACAAAGCCAATTTTTATGTGAGTATTCAAACAAATGAATTAATAATATTGAGGCAATCAAGCAAATATTCAACAATGTTGAACTTACATACCAAAGTTCTCTAGTGAAATTTAAAAATTGGACAGATGACATGTTTGAATTTAAAAAGCCACGACACATTGTGAAAAGGTATCTTATAATAATATGTTGGCAAGAAATTGAAAATAAGAATATTTCCGATTCTCCAGGAAAACCTAGCCTCATGTTTCCAATCTTCATCTTCATCTTAGTTGCCTCCAGTCAGCATCGACGTGTATTGATCGAAGCTTTCGGATATCACCTCATATGATTGCAATCTTGAATGTGAGAGAGGAGATTAGGAGGAGTAGAAAAAAGCAAGGGGGTGAAATTGCAATCAATGAACCAAGAGATAGAAGAATCAAGAGTGCAAGGCTCATCTACTTCTGAACTTAGAGTTAGCAGGTTTTTATTTTCAGATTCAATAAGTTAAAAGCCTAATAGACCAGTATGGTTAACCCAAATTATTTTGCTTGGCTGCTTACCGCATGATCCCTTAGCCACAAAATGGCATTAGATCTCATAGACTCTTAATCACTATATTTTTCTAAAGTCACTAGGTTTGCATAGTAATACAATGATCTAGGGTAGCTTCAGTTGTGCGATTTTTCTCTACTAATCACCCAATATTATGCAGGTCACACAACCGCAATGCTTGTGAAATACTGGTTTTTCCCATCTAACTATAGATGAGCGCAAATTTTAACAGAACAGAAATTATGTTCGACTTTAAGTAATACCTCATTGTATGTTTGTCAACGATTGATCATATACTCCACGCAGGAAATAAATACTCTTGTTAATTTAGATTCATCCAACACCAAAGTTCATTTTTCCATCAACTGCATTTTCATTTTCCAGTTACTAAACAATAATCCACGTGCACAAAATACGGGGGGGAAATTTAAGGAGAAGCATACCAAGTTAGCTGCTTTCTGGGACAAAAAGTTACGGGTCAGCGGTAATCAGATCCAAAACTAGAGTAAGTTGATTAAACAACTATATAGGTAAGTGCAGATTCTAACAAGATATAAACTGTGTTCATTATCCCACCTACCCCCCCCCCCCCACTAATTACACAGTAAAATTAAATTTAAACCAAAATATAGAAGAAGTAGGGTTAGGGTTTCATCAATCGCCAAACCTGCTTATTAGCCTGCGAGTAATCCACCATATACTCGTACGCATCCGCCTGAGCGTTAACCCTAGTCTCCGTCCCCTCGACGGGCAACGCGAAGGCATCCATAACAACGATCGTATCTCCATCGGTCTTCCCCTGCATCAATCCCATGACCTCGATCGTGCCGCCGGAGCGAGCGTGGACCACCATCTTGAGAAGCGCGAGGGCCGAGATCCGAACGCGGCGGAAGTAGTTGGGATCGTGGGCCCACGGCTTCTCGTGCTGGAACTTGGTCTGCGCTGCTTCATCGTAGTAGTAGATTCCGTCAGAGGAGTCGCCGGCGGAGGAGGGATTTGGGTCCATGGGGACGACGTTGTTCTCGAGTTCCCAGGTTTGGCGCGCGATTGAGGAGTCCATGGTGGGGATTTTAGGAGGGGCGGAGAGGAGGAACCCTAGTTATGCCGCGTGCGGGAGGGGTCCTCGGGAGGCAGGCCGGGGAAGGGGTTTATAGTAAGGAAGTAATAAAAGGAGATTTTGCTAGTAAAGAAGAGTTCGGTTCTCGATTTAGGGGCTGTTTGTTTGTCTAAAAAAAAGATGGAAATCAAAGAATAGGAAACATATTTTTTAGAAATTTTATTTTGAGGTTGTTTGGTTAGAAAAAAAAGAATGAAATTAAAGAATAGGATATGAAATGAGATGAGTTGTCGTCATATTATTGGATGATGTGAGTGATTTTTTAAGAAAACTTATTTTAAGGTTGTTTGGTTGGCTAAAAAAATAAGGAAATGTATTATAAGAAACATATTTCCTATAATAGGTTCTTTTCTTGTGTTTGGTTCATTCTTAAAAATAAGAAAATAGATGAGATGAAATGAGTTGTCATTATATTATTGGATGATGTGACTCACACTTAAGGAAATCAATTTCCTCGTTTTTTTGGAGGAAATGGGTGGAGATGAAAGTTTAAGGAGATGATATGAGTTGTCACAATATTATTGGATGATGTGATTGATTTTTAAATATGAGATGGGATGAGATGAGATAAGTTGGATGATGCGATGATAAAAATAATATTTTATTAGATGTTGGATGATAAAAGTAATATTTTATTGGATGAGTTGGATGATTTTTATTAGATGTTGGATGATAAAAGTAATATTTTATTGGATGAGTTGGATGATAAAATAATATGTTATTAGATGAGTTGGATGATAAAATAATATTTTATTGAATTTTGGGGTAAGTTTTAGGGATGGAAATGGTTGAAAATAGGAAATGGGAGATTTTCATGCTCTCATTTCCTATTCTTGGTTTTTAGGAAACCAACCAAACAGCCCCTTATACACATAAACCATTTCTGAGGGTTTTCATTTTGCAATCAATCAATCGCTTAAGGTCTGTTTGTTTGCCTAAACAAAGAGGGAAATCAAAGAAATGGAAAACTATTTCCAAGAAGAATTGTTTTGGGAGTGTTTGGTTGGCTAAAAAAAGAAGGAAATCAAAGAAATGGAGATGAGATGATGTTAGTTGTCACCTTAGGGCCTGTTTGGTTATTTCCAAAAAAAAATCTAAAATGGAAAATTCATCCTTGAAATGATTTTAATATATTTCAATCACATTTCCCAGATTTCTTTTTTCTTTTTGGTTTGTTTCGCAAAGAAAACTCCGCATTTCAATGTCAAGTCACACAAACAGACAAAAAAAACCTCCATAGTAACAGTGCCCAGATTTCTATTTCTTTTATTTGTTTGAGAACAAGAAATAGGAAATGAGAAATTGGGGTATTAAATATTATGATTTATTATTCTGCACTATTCCAACAGTGCTTTTACTAATTAATAATTCTTAGATGGGACATTTCCAAGTGTTTTCAGCCCAATTTGGTGTGAAAACACATTTCTTGAAAGTTTGAGGTGGCAACCTATGTGGCGGTTCATTTCTCGAAAATTAAAAACGAAACAAACATGAGAAATGGAAATCTCTTGAAAACAAAATCTCATGTGGCACTTGTTCGTTTCTTGAAAGTTGAGGCGGCAAGAGATTTCCGGGTTTTTTTTGGCAAACGAACAGACCTTTATTATTGGATGATGTGAGTGATTTTTTAAGAAAACTTGTTTTGATGTTGTTTGGTTGGCGAAAAAATTAAGGAAATGAATTATAAGAAACTTATTTCCTGTAATATGTTGTTTTCTTTTGTTTGGTTCATTCTTAGAAATAAGAAAATAGATGAGGTGAGATGAGTTGTCATTATATTATTGGATGATGTGACTCGCACTTAAGAAAATCGTTTTCCTAGTTTTTTGGGAGGAAATGGGTGGAAATAAAATGTTAATGAGATAAGATGAGTTGTCACCATCTTATTGGATGATGTGAGTGATTTGAAATGATGAGATGAGATGAGTTGAGTGATGTTGTTGGATGAAAATAATATTTTATTAGATGTGATGGATGAGTTATTGGATGAAAATAATATTTTATTAGATGTTGTGGATGAGTTGTTGGATGAAAATAATATTTTATTGGATGTTGTGGGTGAGTTTTAGGGATGAAACTGGAGGAAATGGTACTTTTTGAGATTTCCACCTTTTCCATTTCCATTTCTTGTTTTTTAGGAAATAACCAAACAGATAAGCCCATTTTTCAAGTTGTTCATACATAAACCAGCTGTAAAGTTTTTGAGGAAATTAGCTTCAAGTCTTTTTTTACCCCCTACAAAATAACTTAGGGGGTGTTAGTCAATTTGGACATTTTCATGCAAAATGGGATAATTGTTAAAAAGGATATTTTAGTGGGATAAATAGGAACAATTTTGTGAAGCGGGATATTTTGATAAAATAACATGGGATAAATTTTTATAATCATGAAATATATATTTATGCATTTTGAAGATATAAATGCTATTTATGTATTTTAAACTTACTATTATTGATTGATAATTACTTACAAGAATGTTCTTTACTATTAAATAAATTATGGTTAGACTATAAGATATTGACAATTATTATTATTATGATGGTCTAATAATGGTGATAACCATAATAGGAAAGAAGTAAAGAAAAAAAAAGAAATATAAAAAATAAAAAATAACAAAATAACAAAATAAATATGAGTTCTAATTTTTTACCACATAGTTCCAAGCTAAAACTTGGAATAATTTGAGAGACTAGAACTCTTATTTTTATATAGAAAAATAAAAAAAGTGGGATAATTTTGTATCATTATCTCAATTCTAGTTTTGTTAGAGTTCTACTTGACTAACACTGTAAAATTTTGTTCTGGTTTTAGTTCTATGTGACTAACACCTTAAAAATTTATCCCACATATTATCTCAGTTCCAATTCTAAGTTCTAGGTGACTAACCCCCCATTAGGGGCAACTTTTACTTTCAGTTTATACGTAAACCATCTTTAAAGCAGATTTTTGTTGTACTAACCTATCTCTTAGTCATATTTTTTTACTAAAAATCCAAAAGTACTCTTTAAAACTCACGTTCAAGAGGCATGACCCTTTTTTAGTGTTTATGTCTCATTAGAATACAACTCACGTACTTTGAACTTGGATTTGTTAAGCTTCTTTTTGGTCTTCTAGCAAAAAATTAATTTAGAGATGATTGACTGCAACAAAAAATAATTTTAGAGATGGTTTATGTAATAAATTGAAAGATAATTTTCGAATAATTATCTTATTTTTAAGGCGATTTCTAGGGAAAAAAAAGTTAACTTTAATATTTTCTTTTTACACAATCTTGTAAAGTTTTGTTTAGAACACATTCTGCATGATAATCATGTTATAACATTTGGACCTATATGCTCTTCAACTAAAAAGATATATTTTTTAATCCTTCTTTACCTTCTTTTTAATTTAGGAGTGTTTTGTCTACATAAAAGTACTAGCATACTAAGTTTTATGCATGTGTAATGCACATAGTTAATATATCGTGATTAAGTATTTTTGGTTTATCTTCTTACTAAAATTTACTCATTGGTTCCACTTTGATAGTTTTTGCTCAATTATTTTTCTAAACTTGAGCAATGTAATTATTTTTTTTAAATATTTGTTTGAATGAGTTATACCGAATTTAAAATTTCATGTTTATAATTGACTTGACATGAAACAAATGTAATTCAAAGATAATTTAAATTTTCTTGTTATTTGAACCGATATGAAACCAAGCTTTATTTAAGAATGTATAGTATTGCGAAGGTAAAAAACACTTGAAAAATAGCATGATAAAAGAAAGATAAATAATTAAAGTCAATAAGCCAAGATGATTAGTTAAAAGTGGGCAAGAACAAAAATAAAGAGAATATGAAGTTTGTTCCCAATTATTGATAGACTTTAAGAAAATCATAAATTAAAGATTAATGCTAACACTAATACAATTTATATGATAAAAACATTCACATAAACATATAAAAGTACTAAAAAGTTCATGAAAATCCCTTCTAAAATTCCCTAATTTTACTAAAAAAACTAAACTATTATATAAAATATTTAGAAAACATTAATGTCTTTTATTCCTCATGTTTCTTTTTTTATTGAGTCGAGACCAATCCCTTTCCATATTATCTTTTTCCTGGGAAATTCTAGAGTAATGTCTATCGACTACATTGATTGTGATATCATGCTGAAGCTGGATTTCTTGTGTTGTTATATTTCCTTATAAAACTCGTTTGTTTTCTCTCTACTCGTCTTACTTCATATAGAAGTTGAATATATTTCCGATGTTCAACACAAACTTCTAGAAATATTAACTTTAATTATTTTTATGTTTCAACGAGAATAAATAAAATTTCATATCTATATATGAATTTTTTGTATTTATAATTTATTGCTAGGTTAGGAGTTACTTCTTTTTTCTCTGTGATAAATTCTTCTGTGTGCACCAAATAAAAGTTTCTGCTAGATTAAATAATGTTATCTTCTCTCTCTCCGTGTCATTTTTCATGATGATCTAAACTAAATAAATGCATTTTTTATTATTGATTTGCCTTATATTATAATGTTAATATTTCATTTTGATATGTTTATTTCATGGAGAAGGAATGTTACTTAACCTTGGTGCTGCATTTTTGGCAATTCTATGACATTTATCATTTGGACACTTTATTAACATCTCTATCCACCTTCTTGTTGTAGCTTTGCAAGCGTAGAACCACCGCTCAACTCTATTATAAAATAATAGTTATCTTTGCATCATAGGTACAATAGCACGTTTGTCTATTAGCAAACAACTTTTAGGTTTAATTGTGTAAATTTTAAAGTAAGTTATGTAAGATCATACCTCTTTCTAATATTTGCGATGATTGCATATATCAGTAATTTGAATTTGTGTTGCATTTGTAAAGAGTCTTGATGGAGATATTTTTGTCTTGGAGTTTGTTCTGAATGGGCCCTGCATAATAGCTTTGAAATGTAATAAACTTTCTTTATTATGTGTGTGTGTGTGTGTGTGTGTGCTTGCTTGCTTAGTTTACTTATCATTCTCTTATTTCTTCAATAAGTTGTATATTCAGGTTGATATATAATAT